TCTGGTGAAATTCTATCTGAGGATCTTCGGCGCTACAAGTACTTTCTTGATTAAACCAGTTTATTCTTCCTCGATACAACTTTTAGTACACAGAAGTTCCGCAATCAGTACTTTTCTCATTACTTTAAACTTAACAACTTCTATAATACAAGCTATAAATCACAGCGATTCACAATCTTGATAACTTCTCTCTCGACGAGTGCAAAACACACACTTTACGGCTCACTAGCTCGAAACTAACAGAATCATAAATTACACGGAACTCAAAGAAACTACTGCTCTCTGTTCATTAACTCCGCTGGCTTTTTCTGCCAGGCCTATACACTAACGAAGAGGGCATCTCGGACACACTCGGACTTCCCCGAATGCGAGAAACTCATCAGCAGCGTCACGTGACTTCCGCTGTCGTAACATTATTTTTATTCCTGAAAAAAATTATAATCAACTATTCGAAAGCATTCATATTTCTAGATCTTTCGAACTCTGTATGACTTTTTTTTTATTATCCTTTATACTAATTCTTTTATCATGGCTGTGTAATATGCATTGATTCTATCTTAAACAATTGTTTCTTATTTCACAATTAATGGTTTTGTATTAGCATTTTCACTTCAATATAAATGGGTTTGTATTTGATTGTGATATTATATCATGTATTGACAGTTGAATTTGTATTTTTTTAAGATGTGTCTTGTATATTATTTGTATTATATGGCATTTTTCAATTGTGGCTATGTATGGATTTTCTTTTCTAAAGGATTGTGTTGCTTGTGTTGGATGCAAATGTTTACTTGGGCGAAAATAAGTTGCTGTACTCCTTTCCCTGAGTAAATACATAGATTTGATTAGTTTTGAAGTTAAACTTCATGTTGGCTTGAGAACAAGCCTGAAGTAAGGATAAAGAATTGTAATATATGCGCATATCATACATATTCTAACTTCTTGTTTAAGTATAGTATACTTACAAAAATTGTCAGTTATCCTGGTACGTACAGTTTCACATAACATGTGGTCAGAAAAGTCATTAAGTTACTTTTATTCTTACTGTCTTTGTTCCTTGTCATTTTCTTGAGGTAATACCTAGTCTGCCTGTTAGTGGGGGTATGGCTGTAATGCTGTGCAAGAGGTCGACATTGGTGTCCTTTATTAGTATGCCAGGTAATGCTTCAAGGTTATAACTTTTCATACATTCTAATGGTAGTGCTAGTCACTCTGTGTAAATCTCATATTACTTTGAGTTAGGTAACATAAAGTTTAAACAGTATGGTAGATGATATTGCATAGTCAGTCAGATAGAAGTTATCCTTGATCGAATAAAAAGTGAGCAAGTACACACACAGTATTTGCGCAAATAATAAGCTTGTTCATTTGTGTCTACTCTGTGTGCAGTTTCTTTATTTTGTTTTCGCCAACTCAGTTGTCCAGTGAAGTTCAGAATTACTTCAGAACATATATGTTGTGGAACCTCCTGTTATTCAGGGAACTTATCCAATGGCTGTACAAGAAACCATTTTCTCCTGAAAATGCCACAGGGGTAGAAACGTGTAGTATGCCTGCGTACCACAAACATACCTATTAGACACAATATAAGGTTTTATTGAGCAAAATGAACTGCCCACCCCACTCCCAGTGTTCACACTTAAGTTATACTTCTACTGATAGGGCTGACGAGAATGGGGCAAGGGGGCAGCTGCCCCTGGGCCCGGTAGTGGGATACTCCAAAGCTCACTAGAAATACATACTACTTAATGAGCTAAAATGGATACTGCTTGTTCATGGATTCATGAAGAAATTTTTCACATAAATTTCTTTTATGAAAAATCAGTAAAAGTTAATAAGTAGAATGTAAGGGGCCCCCTATGATATTACTGACCCCGGGGCCTGAGCTGGCTCTTGACGCCCCTGACTCCTATTACTTTTAACCTTAGGATAACAGCAACTAAGTTTATCTTTAAATTTCACAGATTATCTTTAAAGCTGTTAGTTCAAGATACTTTTAAACACTTTCCTAATTTCCTCATTGCCCTAGCTATTTCGTTAATTTGTTTATTTCCAATTCCTACTTAAAAGACTGATTGCTCAAAAATAACAGCCCCACTTGGGGGCTGTTATTTTGCCCCCAAGTGGGACAATCATAAATTTACAGACTTAATTAATTACAACGCTAAAATCCGGGGCTAGATTCCACGTGGTGGCAAGAGTGCGGATACTACACTGAATAACTTTGCAACAACATCAACATAACTGGTATTTTAATACAATTTGTAGCTTTTTAATTTCTTTTTTTCACGGACACATTATTTTTGACCTCCTTTTCTCTAAACTGGTTTCCTGCTGACTGAATACGTTGCTGCCGATATTTTACAGACGGGTTAAGGTTAATAAACTGACTGGGCATCGAGTCGACTCACAGTGGAGGTGTGAGCTGTCGTGAGAGTCTGGAAATTTTTTGATTGCTATATCCAATTATAATTTGATCAGTTATGGCACTTATTCGAGGCTGTGTTTCCAGACTTAGTAATTACACTCAGGTAGTAACTAGAAAATAGCATATACTCTTTACTTAAAAAGTACTTAGAAGTTAAATGTAACCAGCACTACTACTACTGTAGTAGTACTAGCTAAGTTATGGCAGTGCTGCCACTGCCAGATTAGTAGTCGTGCTGTAACAATTTAGAAATTGGAATATTTATAATGTTACACCAACGCTGCTGTTCAAATTATTGGAAGCTTAATATAATATAACGAGGCCTTACAAGTTACGATTGTTCTCCATCAACCTTTATAAAACATGATTATAGCAGTAATAGAAATTATGTGTATATTATAATATGTACTTATAAGTTATAGTTAACTATTTCTTTTTCTTTTCGTGATTACTTATGAGATTAGTACGTGATACAACCGTTTACTCATATTACTGTTCCAGTATTGAACAGTATTTTTATTACGATTTAGTGGTATTTTACCGTATTTTTTAGTTTAACACATGATTTGAAGAGTTATACTTCTAACTTTAAAGTTTAAGTTTAATTAAAAACCTTAAAGCACACCACTGAAAATTGAAACTGAAATTGTGAAAAGTTACCACTTTGTTGACACGTTATTGCATCTTCACGACATCCTAAAGTACAGTATGTCCTCGAAATTTTTGTACTGACACTGACAGTAAATCACAAAATATAATGTATGTTACAGTTATTTAATAAATGGGTTTTTCTTACATTTAGAGTTTACTAGATTTAATTTCATTCATTGCCAGGATTTAAGTGACTTTAATATATCATTTTAGTAATGATACAGTTGCTCAGACTTGGTAATACTAATATTCTGTACAGCATCGGATATTTGTATTGAAATTTATAGATTTTTTTTTTGTCATGCACTCTAGTTATTATAAAAATATTGCATCCATTACAAAACATAACAAAAACTCATTTTTTTCAAGACATTGATAATGGAATAACTTGCAAATTGGTTAAGCTTACATATGACATTATTTTAAATTGTACCACCGATGCTAAGCATGCAGTTTTGCAGAGTCTTGGACAGTTTGGTGAGCTGGGCTTACTATTTGCAGGTATGTTTTAACCTCATTAAAAGTAAGTTTATGCATATTGTTTATCAAAACATTAGTTTTATAGCTTGGATGGGGAAACTAGGTGAAGTTAAGAAAAAAGATCAGGGCATAGCTATTACAAATATTTGTAAAGCCTTCTGAATAATGTATTTAGATAATAAGTCGTCAAACAGAATTATAGGTAATATATTAGGGCTATGAAGTATACTCATTTAATTGAAACTGTGATTAAATTGATTAATCCAAATTAGTGTTTTAATTTATTACTGCTTTCTATAACTCCAACAATTGATTCCTATTGACACCAGACTTGCTTGCACTGTTTTTTTTGTGACAAAACTACTAAGGTTATCTTTTACTGTCACTAATTTTGAACTGCTGACTAGAAGGAAGGCAACTGCAGCATAGCAATATTGATTGTCAACCAATGGTCTTTTTTTCTTTTTTTGCTTGTATGTAACATGGTGTGAGGAATACTGTACTACTAATTGGATGTAATAAATTATCAAGTACCACTAATTGCACAGCTTTATTGTATTCATAGAAAAATATTGTGTACAAATTGAAGGAGGTCATCTGTTAACATTGCAAAGTGTAATATTGTGTTCAGTTTTGGTCATCTAATTTGTGAAAAAATGTTGAGTTGGTAAGAGGGTTCAGAGAAGAACTAGCAGGATGATTCTAGGTTTCGAAGGAACCATTGTGTTGGGATAGATTATCTCAGGAGCTGTATAATTTTGATTTTTAAGATTATTAAAGGTTTGCAATCCACAAATTCAAGGCAGCAATATGAAGGCACCAAAGTTTAAATATGAAAAACTCAGAAACAACTCCAGTTAAGGCAGTGTTACTTTTATAATAGTGTGGTCAGCTTATGGAATAATTTGCTTTCAAAGGTTTGGTAGAAACTGCAAGCATTGAAGGGCTTAAGAGGAGACTAGATGAATATTTTAGAGATCAGGTTTGGATATAGGAAAAGAGTCTTTTGAAATGTACATTGGTAATAGAAAATGAGATGGAACAGATAGGCAAAATGGTCCCTTCTTATCCCTTGGAAATGTATTACTGAATAGGTCTGTATTATAATACCCTAGTTTGATTAACATGATATTTAATGACAACAAGAGGCCTATTGGTCCATTGAGGCTTTCCCACCGTTTCCAAAAAACAAAAATATACACAAATCCAGCCTTAATGTTTTAAATTTTTATCAAGTCTTTCCCTTAAATTTTTTAAATTTACTGCATCCATCACATCTAAAATCAACCCATTGCAAAGGCTAGTCATACTGTTAAAAAAGTAAAACAATCTAAGCTGAAGATGACTCCTACCCTGCCAAAATTTATATTTTCTTTTGTCCTTCCAGTCTCATCATTAAATATGAAAAAAGATCCATCGATGCTATAAATTTCCTTAATAATATTGAACGTCTGAATATTTAACCATACCTTTAACTTTTAGACATATATTTGTACATTTATACTTCAAACGTTTTTGAATTTTTTCTTTAATATTTGTGCAAATTGCATAAAATGTAATGTTTGTCAATTTGGCTAATCATTCTAATAACTTATTGTAAATTTTTTTATGTGGATTCAGAATAATTAGCATACATTAGTAATGTTGATTATTTTAATATTTACTCTCCATTACTTATATAGGTATGGTGGTTAAGTCACTCGACTTGCAATCTGATGGTTTTAGATTTGAACCCATCACCGAACATGCTCGCCCTTTTAGCTGTGGGAGCATTATAATGTTACAGTCAATCTTGCTGTTTGTTGGTAATAGAGTAGCCCAAGAGTTGGTGTTGGGTGGTGTTGACTAGCTGCTAAATTAGAGTCAGTTAGTGCATATAACTCGCATGTATATTTTTGCAAAGTTCAAAACAAAACAAAAACCATTAATTATAATCTAGAAATTAATGTACTTACCCCAAGGTAAGGGCCACATGAAATTTTCTGTTTGAACATATTATTGATTCTCTTGCAATATGGGCAAATTATATCTATAATAATATTAAATTTAATTTTTTATTTCATATCCAAAGGATAACAAAGGGTAATTTAGCATGTCTACATTATCCCATTTTCTGTTGCTACCCTACTCAAAACTATACATAAAACCCCCTTTTCCTATATCCAACCCTGTTCTCTAAAATATCTTCCAATTTCCTCTTAAACTGCTTAAAAACCTCAATTATGTCCTTCCCCTAAGCCATTTTCCTCTCCAGTAAAAACGTCTCGAGAAATTTCAGTCTATCTCCTTACTATAACTTCTCCTTGTAATCATCCTGATAGAGTTTTGAAAGAGGTTAATGATTGGATATATGAGTCACTTGATACTTTTATTGTAAGTCTTTGAATAGCAGGCAAGTGCCAGATGATTGTAAGTTAGATGATGTTACTCCTCTTTACAAGGGAGGTGATAAGAAATTTTTCCCAGTACTTATAAGTTTGTTAGTCTTACATCAGTGGTGGTAAATGTTTCTGAAGGTCTGGTAAAACAGTCAGTTGAAAAGTTTAAAGTTTTGTTAGGTAGTCGGCATTGTTTCCCTGGGTGAAAAACTTACCTTGCTAATCTTTTAGCATTCTTTGAAAAGGTTATTACTTATGTATATAAAAGTACAGGTTTAGATTTGGGGTATCTGGATTTTCAGAAAGCATTTGAAAAAGTGCCACATAAAAGGCTTGTTAAAAGAAATAATCCCTATAAGTGTGGAGGATAAGTTGGCTCGTTGGATATAAAAGTGGCTGAATGGAAAAAATGAGTGGGTTTCTATAAATGGAGCTCAGTTAAACTGGATTAATGTTACATGTGTTACCTTAGGGATCATTGTTAGGACTTTTGCTCCTTTTGATTTACATCAGTGACATAAATGAAGGAATGGTCAATAAATTATTTAAATGTGTTTAAGATATTAAGTTATTAGGCTGTGAAGAGGATGCTCCTGCTTTACAAAAGGATTTGGATTATTTGATGAATTGGGTGAATAAATGTCATATGGTTTTTACTTATAATAAATACAATGTAATGCATGTGGATATCAGAATTTGAATTATAAATATAACTTTGATAAGAATAACTGTAACAGTATTATGGAAGAAAAGACCTTGGTGTTCTGGTTGATCAGTTTCTTATGCTGCACAAGCAGTGTGCTTTTGCTAGTGGCAAGGCAAATAGGATTTTAGGCTGTATCTACAGAAATATTGAATACAAGTCTAAAGAGTTTATGATTTCATTGTATAGGTCACTGGTTAAGCCACATTTGGCATATTGTGTTCAATCTTGGGTTCCTTACCTAAGGAAGGACATTGTATTGTTGGAAATGGCTCAGAGGAGGGTTAGTAGGATGATATTTTGTATGGAGAAGTTGTCATACAAAGACTGGTTAAGATCTCTAAAACTGTTTTCTCTTGAAAAAATGAAATAAACAGAATCTAATTGAGATGTTTAGGATTGTTAAGGAAATTGATAGTGTTGATGCAATTGTTTTCTCATACTTAATGTTTAGACTGGTAGGGCTAAGGGTTACAAATATAGATTTTGGTGGGTTAGAAGTCATCTTCAGCTAAGACAGTTTTGTTTTTCTAATAGTGTAGTTAGCCTTTGGAATGGGTTACCTTCAAATGGGTTGGATGCAGTAAATTTAAGATAGTTTAAGGGAAAGCATGATAAGAGCTGACTAAGTGTTTTATATTTATTTTAAAGGTTAGTTTAGTGGATGGAACTGCCTATATGGGCCTAAAGGTCCTTAAATTATATGTTGTAATAAAGCATAACAAGAATTTGTTTGAGTGAATTGGAGCTGCATGATGATCTTCAAATTGTGCTTAATATTTTTGCTTAGAAGGGAAATTACTAACTTTTTTACATGCCATTCACTATCATTGGGGTTTGCAAAATGCATCACAATGTGTAATTTTATATTTTTTCTGTCATAACATTTGGTGTAACTTTGGGAATGATTTAAATAATTGGGTGAAATAACTGTTCTATATACATGTGTGTGTGTGTGTGTGTATATATATATATATATATATATATATATATATTCACACACACACACACACACACACACACAAAAAGATCTTTTAATATAATACAGTATGGAATTGCATTAACTGTTACAGAGCAAATAAGTTGATATGGTTTTTCAGTGTAAGAAGGAATGATGAAATAAACATTTTTGTCTTAAACCAGGTTTATAAAGTCCATTGAAAAGATTGTTTTAGCAAAAAAGATTAGAAAGTTTAATATTGATAATTTTGTCCATGGGAATATTAGTAAATGTGAGAAGTAATATCAAAATTAGCCATCATATGATTTGGTGGTGGAGTAAATTGACTAATTTCACGGGAAAAATGAAAAGAGTTCGGGTTTTACAAATTAATTCCAAGTAAAAGGTTTCAAGGTAGGTATAAGGAATGTAGTTAAGTTATAACTAAATGCCTAAGGCAGAAAGTATAGGTCAGAGTGGGGTGTTTGGTTTGTGAACTTTCAGCAGGCCATGAAGCATTTAGTAAATGTTTCAGATTCTTCAGAATTCCATGTTCAATAAGCTAGAGGTACAAAACAAACATAATGGTAATTACACCAGAAATACATAATAAATAATAAGTAAACAATTTGAATACAAAAAGAACAGGAGAAAAATAAAAGTATGTAGTGCAAATGAAATAGTTCATATTAGATCAAATGAAGAATGTGTATTATTTAGATATGGAAGAGTTTTTGCGTACAGTATCTCTTTTATTAAAAGTTCAATATCATGCTGTATTGTGCTTTTACCTTTTCTTCCAGTTTTTATAGATATACCCTTATGTTTAATTGCTCGTATTTTTAGGTGAGATTTAGTTTCACCAACATATAAGGTTTTACAATCTCTGCACATGTATAAGTATCTGAGATGGGAACAATGAGCAATTGGCATACGATTTTTGTAGTGAAAAACATTTTTAAGTCTGAAAAAATTAGATGTAAAAATAACTTTCAGATCACTTTGAGGATAGTAAGAATTACTCATTTTTTTCAACTGTTTTAAGATAAGGGAGTTCTATCTTCCAAGATATATGGTAAACAGGTGTAGAAAGCTAGTTTGGGGAAAGGAAGTATTGTAGGTGGCTTGGCAAACACATTAGTCAAGAATAAGCAAGTTATTTTCTCCATGAAATGTTTAGGGTAGCTGATTGAAAAATAAATGCTTTGTGTGAAAGACATTTTGTTGTGAAGGAGTGGATAGGAGAAGTAAGGTTATTGGCCATATTTAGTAGGCAGAATATGAGACTGCATTTGAAAGAAAAGGATATAAAGCTATCAGACTGATTGAAAAGGCCATTAAATGTGATTTTACGATAGACAGAAGTTTTAAAGCCATCAGCATCATGATTAACCAGAAGAACTGGATTGACAAGTATCCTTGAAGCTTCAAGCCTTTTTAAATATTTATAAATACTAAAGTATTTAATGCCATCATTATACATTTTAATTGCTAACATCATGAAAGAATAAGCCATATATTCTGGCACAGATTTTTTTTTTTAAACAGTAAATTCAAATCAATTAGACTAACCTATAAATAGCCTTTTCTTGTTGAGTATACTCTCATGCTGTGAACAATTATGTGACTTTAGGCTCTGAAAATGTTTCTAAAAATTTGGAAATTTACAGTTGTTTGGAGGCCTTACATAATCTCTCTCTCTCTCTCTCACATACAGGTATATCCCATGATAGCATTGTCAGCACCTATTATCTAAAATGAAATACATGAGGTTGTTGTGAATTTTTTTTAAGGCCATTGGATGATGATATGGCCATATAGGATGTTTTTATTTATATCCCTATTCATTTTGTCACATTCTCCTTTTGCCATAAAGATGCTAGTTTATCAGTCCACTTCCTTTGGCTTTATAGGTTTTGTTTTTGATGAGTAGTATCATTTATGCTGGATTTCTTCATTCACTCAACATCAACTTTTATTTTACGTTGACATTTGGCTTATTTTGACCCTTTCATCTGTTCAGTCTCTTACATGCACACACACATTTGGTTGACCATCCATCTGGCAATGTCACATACATGGATCATCCACAGTTTCAACTGTCATGTCATGTACCAACACAATATTTTTGGATCAATTCAGATTTATGAATACTTCAGTATCTCCTGTGGCATTGCAAGCCTTATCTAGTGTACATATTCCTTCCTGTGTCTTCCACCCCCAGGGGTGGTGATAGCCAATTGAGATCTGACTGTGGACTCATTGTCACCTAACATGACTTGTAATTGTAGCCGAACTAATATTTTATTGTTTGGTATGCCTATAGGTTGATGTTAAATACTCTTTATGTCAAGAAGCTCTTTTTATACGATATAAAATTGAGTATGACATAAACAAAAATCCAGTACTTGATATTGTTTGTTTTTCTTGTTTTTTCAATAAAATAAGCTTGAACAACATGAATTGTCATGTCAGAAAAACTCCATGACACTTTTTTTCAACATGGTTTACTCTTCCAGCAAAGTGTTTGAATTACTTTCCAGTTATAGGATGTTTTTTAGCTTGGTTAACTGTTTTAGTCTTTATTTGTACAGTAGCCTTTCACTTATATAAAATATCTTACGTAAAAATGTTTAATTTCTTGATACTTTCATAACTTGTTTTATGTTTTATAAAAACTTGTGGCACTAAGCAAGATTATGTTTGCTGATCCTAAAATACAGTATAAGTATATTAGTACAATGTGTTGTTAATATTAAATTCCTAATTATATAGTTTCCATATTTATTAAATTATTTTTATTAAATTTCTAATTAAACAGTTTCAGATTTATCAAATTACTTTTAAGTACTTCAAAATTAAATTTTACTTTGGGGAAACTATATATATAGCTGTAAAGGTTTCACAACTTACAGTAGATCAGGTGAGAGTGATAAACTATTATTTAGACTTAAATGAATTAAGTGAAAAATTCCAAAAAGAAAATTCGACTGTATCAACTGTGATTTACTGTATTATTTTTTACCCCACAGAAAACTATTCCAGCATTATCTCTGGTCTCACGAAATTCTTCTGATGCAGTTGTAAGTACAAGTATTTCTCAAATTAATAAATTTTCAGAAACATCTTTACTTGTCTTCTTTGTTCTTCTGGCCATTGTACATATTGTATATGATTGTTGTTTGATTTTAGCAGTGTATATATGCATATATAGTGTTTCTATTCAATGGATTTCCTGGCTCAAAACAGCTCATTAGTTTCTGTTAGGAAAAACCACAGTCCTGTGCTACCAAAAGCAGCTCAATCTCAGTGGCTCAGTGTCAGAAAATTAATATAATAATATAATTTATAGTTATTATACAAGTTAAATATGTAAAAGCTGGGGTGCTACAGCACCCCAGCTCTGAAACCTCTGGATCCATTTAAATGACTTCCATCAGAAGATGCATTGCTAAAGAAATTACATTGAGGTACATTTTGTCTGAGGTTTTAATTCATTGTTTTGTACTTGCTTACAAACTTGTGATCTGAATGAATTTGGTTTTATTTGATCATGACTTCAGAAATAACCAAACCTGTTCTAATAAACTTAAAGTTTTTTCCCTACAGTACCTCCCAAGTTTAAACTCTAATTGAAACTTTGATTCCAAGAAATAATGTACTTATAATGTACTTATGTAATTTATTCCACTTTTTATAAAAACATAAATATTTTTTATTTCATTTTTTTACATACATTAATCAAATAACTGTTTATATTTTGGGAGTTAATACTAACAAACAAAAATAATAAAAAAAGAAAATACTTGTAATGTTTACTGATAATCTGCCAAATTTCCTTAACGTATGCTTACTAATTTAAAGGTTATAGCATGAAAACTATAACAAGCATAAAAATGGTTACGAGGTTGGTCACGGGGACTGAGCCCATGCTGAAAGAGTTGAGATCCAGTAACAATCAATTAGTTATTCTTGGAACATTGGTACTACTACATTCATCAGTTTTTAGCTAATTTACACATTGTATCACACAGTATTAGCATTGTTAATAATATAAATTTAATATTAATTTAATTAAGTAATATGTTCTAAGCAGAAAAAAAAATTTGTTTGAATGTGAATTTAGCAAAATTAACTAACTGCCAGGAAAGTAGAAAAAATGTTTCAAATATTTTGTTAGGTTTGGCATGAAACTAGTGATAGTAATTTTTGTCCTGTAAACAACATTTGCTCATCAGTTTCACTAGTCTTCTCTTCGCTACTTCTAATACTCAAATATTTTATTAGAGAATATCAAAATATGCCTATGTCAAATGTATGAAACCAAATTTGTAACAGTATGTTGACATTTTAGGTCATGGATAGAATTTCCATGCCTTGAAACTGCTGAATAATGGATTTTTTTTTATATTTCAAAATTATTCTAAGTAATAAATAATTAGCTTCTAGAATATAATATAGGGCCTGTGAAATAGTGTGTGCATTTCTTTAGATTCTAGACTATCCTGTTTTGGCTATAAATGATGCTATTTTTAATACTTCACTCTTCAAAAAAGTCAAATTAACAAGCTGTGAAATGATATCCAATACATATTGATATATTTAATCATTTTGTTTTCAATACATGTTGATGTATTTAATCACATTTTATCATGTTTTTTATATTTGTATAACATATTATTCTTCATAATAACTTAAAGTAATAATGTGGGAAAATACATGCACTTGTTAACATATCCTCTTTAATGATACTTGGTTTTCAGAAAAATTTAAAATCCATACTAATTTTTACATTGATTTTTCTATATTTAATGATAGCCTTAATGAACCAAGAGAAAACCGTGACGAACCTCAATATATCTTCTAATGTGCTAATTCTTTAAAAAATTCATTAAAGCAATATTATATTCAGTGTGCTATTATATTTCATAATGATAAAGTATTTTACTTCCTTGTTTCACTGCTGTAACTGTCTATTTCTGGATAAAGTGTACATTAATTTTTAACCAGTGCATGTACTGTATTACTACAATCTATAATAATTTTACATAAATATTTTTAATATACTTATGCTATTGAGGTTCACTGAACATATATATGTATTATTCTTCAATAAAGCTTTAAATTACATACTAAAAAATAACATCAATTAACTTACTTTCATAATTCACATTAGGTTGTTTTTAAATTATCTTATTCTTCATTATTTTCCTGTTTTAAATAATATATTGAACTTCAAATCACTTTAAATCATCATAATGTGAAATAAAACCCTGTAACACATTTCCACCAACTAGTATTTTACTCGTGTGTTAAAGTAGTGTGATTCAGACCCCCCCCCTATTAAAACTTAACATAATATATCTCAACATATTGCAATCACTTGATTTTTGAAAAACAATATTTGTTTCAAGTATGATATACATTAAACTTCGTACAGTCTTATATCATAAGTCTGTAAAATAAAACCTCTTACCATGTTTTCAAAATTTTGGAAATGTTATGTGCAGTGTTTTATAAATTTTTCCAATTACAACATTACATAAAAAAAATATGTAAATGTATAACTGTTTTTTAGTTTTTGTGTATTGTAATGGTTAGTTTGTGTGCTTAGAGTAAAAGGTCTTTATTTTGTTTCTTACTAGTAGAAAATTTTTTTTATGATGAAAATGTGTCGGTAATAAATCCACGACTTTCTTGTTTCACTGCTGTAACTGTCTATACCTGGATAAAGTGTACATTAATTTTTAACCAGTGCATGTACTGTATTACTACAATCTATAATAATTTTACATAAATATTTTTAATATACTTATGCTATTGAGGTTCACTGAACATATATATGTATTATTCTTCAATAAAGCTTTAAATTACACATTAAAAAATAACATCAATTAACTTACTTTCATAATTCACATTAGGTTGTTTTTAAATTATCTTATTCTTCATTATTTTCCTGTTTTAAATAATATATTCAACTTCAAATCACCTTAAATCATCATAATGGAAATGTTATGTGCAGTGTTTTATAAATTTTTCTAATTACAACATTACATAACAAAAAAAAAATGTACATGTATAACTGTTTTTAGTTTTTGTGTATTGTAATGGTTAGTTTGTGTGCTTGAGTAAAAGGTCATTATTTTGTTTCTTAGTAGTAGAAAATTTTTTTTTATGATGAAAATGTGTCGGTAATAAATCCACGACAGCTGGCAGCATATGATAAAATTGAGATATGATCATGATAATTTATCAGTGACCAAATAATTCACAATAAAAAACATCTTTGTTTTCTTTTAGGTACCACTTCCACTTCTTTAAGGGCACATCCTTCTTTCTCGTAAACCACCTGCAAAAGGAATTTTTAATTAATTTTAGTGACTGGCCTAGAATGGTATAGGAATTCTGTAATTGCTTTATTCTTATTTATATTGCTTGTGCAAGTTGAATTTTATGTACACTAAGAACTTATTGCAAGATTTATTTATTTATGGTTTTTTTTTAGGAACTGAAAGCATTACTAGCAGAAAAAATCAAGGAAGAACAGAAGATTGTAAAGAGTTTTAGGGAACAATATGGCAGCAAAGTTGTTGGAGAAGTTACCGTAGATCAGGTAAGATTAAAAAGATTTCTTATATCTACAGTAAGTAAACAAAAATTTAAGTATTGTAATATTTCTTTAATTTGTTCTATAAAGTTGTCATTTTTGTCTTGCTTCATCCAAAGGGAAATGAAGGTTGTCTGGAGGGGTCACCTGTTTTAACCATTCACACCACTATACAGTAATGTGTTATCTGTCAGTCAGTCAGTAAACACTAAAATGACATCACATAAGGGATGTTTAACTTTGCAATTTGTACTGTTGTGATGGCAGTAAAATGCCAGCATTCTATGAATCATGAGAAGAATTATGCATTGTGTAGGCTACAACACAGTAGGACGTATAAACTTCAAAAGCAAGAAATGAAAATATTTGTTACTCTTAATTTTTGTTTTACTTACTATTGAAACACTTTTGAGGACACTGTGAAAGTACATCTAGCATAAACACTATGCTTTATATCAAAATTGGCCAGACATAGCCTAATGGTTGGTATGTTGAGAGCAGACTGTAAATCCAGAAGTTCACAAGTCAGACCTGGCCTAGTGGTAGGTGTCTGAAATGTTAATTTGAGAATTCATATCATGGTTAGCATCCCATCATTCAAAAACATACACTGCACTTGGTGCTGTATGTGCACTATAAAAGTGACAGTCAAATCCTATTATTCTCAACCATTGGTCTGCAGACTGGCATTGGTCCATCACAATCACCTTGTTGCTCCTTGGGTTTGTGTGGAAATAGACTAAAAGTGACAAAATATTCATAGATGAATCATAATGATATTTCATTGTACTTGTGTTTTAATGGTCCCTGACATATTGTGAAGGCAGTGAGTCAGTCCCTGATATCAAAAAGGTTGAGAAATGCTGCTCTAGTCTATCAGTTCAGATAGCATTGTGTGAAAATTTTAAATAAACACAAGCTTATCTAAAAATTAAAATGGATCTTTAAGTTTTGTATTTTCTATTCCTATAACTTTTGTAATGCTATTTTCAATGTAGCACTTTGCTAGATAGCAAATGTGAAGTTATCCAGGTACAAAATTTTTCCCAAGTAATACTTCATACACTATTAAAAGTGTGTTTTCTTGCATATTAAATATTTAACTGTTCATTTCAAAGTACAGTCAATAGTATTTTTAATACTAATCCCAGTTTAATTAGTTCAATGTATCATTTTTTAGTCATTTAAACAAAAATATCTTTAGGTTCTTTTCTGAATGTTATCAACATTCCATTCACAATGTTGAACAATTGAATACCTATAGTATATTAGAACTATAGCATATTAATTGATTTAAATGATTACTTATGAGCATTGATTGCATTTATTAGTATCATATAAAATAACCAATTCATCAAAACAACAATTAAATCAATCAATATCATGAAAATAATTAACTAATCAAAGTTAGTGTTTCTGTTTATCACTCTTTAAAATTATTCCAACTGTTATCTATAAAGAAAATCACATTTTCTAACAACTCTAGTGAAAGACTGAAGACCCCAGCGAGGAGTTGTTCTCAGTTAAAATTATTTCTCTTTTGAATTAGTAACCTTTATAGCATTCATAACTTGGAATGATGTGTACTGGTAGCTTATATTCAAGTATAATGAAGAAGAACGTTTTATTTGGTTATTCTGAACAGGTGACAGGTGGTTGTTCAACCCTGATAAGCTGACTAGTTAGTGTTACCTTTAGGTTCTTATAATTTATGAAGGAGGAAATACATGTATTAGAAAAAAAATTAAACATAAGTTTAAAATTTTAAGAGAAATAAATTAATAAAAAAGCTAAAAGTTCCAATCAAGTGCTGGTATTTACAAAAACAATTAATTTTTTGGCTTAAAAACTTGACATGTGCTATATAGTAGAGTAGGACAATTAGTGGAACTCGATAACTGATTTGTCAGACTCATTAGTCAATTACATTTGACTAATTGATTCTTCCCAATTAAGACCTGAATAGTTCGTATAATCAAAAATAGTAATAGTTAGAAAACTATTTTCGGTTAGTTGAATATTTTCCATGAGTCATGACATTAATTAATTGAGCTGAATAGCCCTGAATTGTAAATAATAATAAAAAATCGTAATGGTAATATTTTGATTACCCAGTTTTCTAGAATTTTATGCAACAACTGAATCTTAATGTCTGATTATTGTGGTTGAAATGGACATGTTAATCTAGGTTTGATTTAATTTAAGCTTCTTAAAATTTTTCAGTTAAAAATTATTATAGGATGTAAATTGCTTCATACTGCAGTTTCATTTTTTGTTACTAGCCAAATGGCTATTTGTAGAGTTGTGTTTTTTAATAGTTTTCCTACTTTAAAAAAGTCTAATATAGTCTGTTCTTTGTTTTCATTTAGGCCTAAAATGTGTAACTGAAATTTTTATAAGTTGTACAAGTTTATAGTTATTTCATACTCTTGCATATTTAGGAAAGTTCGAGCAAGAATAGGAATGTGTTAACTGTGAATTGTGATTAGCTACATAGAGAGGGTGCAAGATCAAGAAAGTACTAGAAAATGGTTCATCCTGCCTCCATTTTAAAGATTAATTAAAATATTCCAGAAATATAATTAATTGTTTGAAGTTTTTTTAGAGGAATATGGACATTTCTTTCAGCACAGAAATTTTTAAACAGTTGTGAATCTATTCATTGGCTGCTTACTTGTCCAAACTCTCAAGTGCACATTAAAAACTTGGATTGTTATAGTATGTTTTAATAAGTAAACTAAAAAACTGCAACAGTGACTGGTGAGTGCACATTTTGTATACACCCAGAAAAAAATGTAAGAACTGGCCACAATAAATATGTGTGATTTTTGCGGACCTTCAAAGCATTATATCACTGCAGGTTGATGGAGTGCATGTCACCACACAAACTTGAAGGTAATAAAACCCAATACTGTCTTAAGTGGTCCCTGTCTTCAATATAGTACTGTGAAGACCAGAAACTACTGAAAAACAGTGCTTACTGACAGTTTCCAACTGCCTGGACTTCTGTTTTTATCCTGTCCAACTAGCAATATATATATATTATATCCAAGATACAATGGTCAAGATTTGGAGGATGATGAAAAGAGTGAATAGTAGAAAGGACTTTATGGTAGTTGTAAGTTTTCTAAAGATTCTGTTTGAGTGTTAAGCCTTCCAACTACCACAGCTGCTTGTGAATGTAATTGAAAGGAGTGCAGTAAAAAAAAAACCTAAAAAGCCAAACTTTTTATTGTGCACTTTTCTAAAATGAGGATCTGTCTAATGGCAACTGAGAAAAGGCAACAACATGGATTGAGAATGAAAGTAAAATTTATGTGTGTGAGCACTAATGGGACTTGAGACAGCAAAAATTGGGAAGAAGAAATTATCAAGGATGAAGTTAACATGGACAGTAACTCGCAGTGGCAGTAGAGAAAGAGAAGTGATTAAATGACTTATTGGCAGTGACTGTCAGCGGTTTAGACCATTTATTTTTGTTATACTGTTCAGAAATACTAAAAAGTGTAATAAAAAATAAGAAAGAAAACTGTAGAAAAAGCAAATAAACCATGCTATTATAGTTATATTGATGCCTTCTATTTTTATGTAAAGCAAAGTTTCTCAGTGGAGAAACTATTGTATTTAATAGTTTTCCAACATTAAAATTACTTATTACTTGCAGTATTTTAAATCAGATAGACTTACCTCTGAAATTCTAAATGCCTTTTCTTGTTGAGTTGCTTTCATGCTGCCACAGCCATGTATCTTTATGTTCTAAATGTCCTTTGTGCAATTCAGGGAATATGTCAACTAATCCATAATTCTCCACTCTCCCACCTTCTACGTGACATTGTGCATGTGTCATAAGCCCTGCTGCTTTTCTCTCATGAGCCAAATTGTATTTTTGAGAGTTGTACTTTTACCTTCTCTCAGGTCACTATGACTTCTGAAATGAACATTAAATACAGCTGCTAATGTTTCAACCAATATCAGGAATCTTACAACTTCCTTCAAGGTATTATTCACATAGTCTGCCTATAGCATGCAGGGAGATCCTGTGGCTGTATTGTAAGCACTTATTGATGATCAACATCTTCAGACCATTATTTCTATTTAAGATAGAATGTGTTATGAGACAGAAGTTTTATAACTGTGACCAGTCCAGGATGGTGATTTTTAGTGATTATAAGGACAATGTTGTCATATTCAAGCAAATTATATCAATGTGAGATTTAATCATGAAATAAGTTAATTACGAAGCATGAATACCATTTTGGCAGATAGAAGTTGTTTGGTTTCAATATATTAAGATGAATTCACTGTGTTCTTTTCTTAGTAGGATTATTTAAAAGTGTGTGACAACATCCTGTTCAGGAACTTAGAAGAAGAAAAAGCATGAACACCATTGTTTACATTAGTCTGCCCAGTTCCACAGATTAATCGCGACGGGT